AGTAGTATATATAGATTGTAGAATTCCCTAAACAAACACAATTGCAAACCGAAACTTACTTGGAATAGACTTGAAATTTTCCTAAACTAATATGAAAATTAAACGAATAGAACACCAAAGCAAGAAACTAAAAGAATTAGGAAATATAGCTTAGTTTTATTCTATTCCATCAATTTTGTATTGCGAACAACCAAATAGTTTTGCAAAGTCTTTTACGTCAGTTCATCAAGTCTCTTATCTGTATCGTGCCATGCCTCGAATTATTAGACAATACCAAAAAAGTTGAACGGATAAAGCTATTCAGCGGATGAGGAATTAGAGCAGAGAAATTTGATCCTTGAAGAAAATAAAGATTTTTATTTTTCCGGAAAGCATACTAGCGTGGAGCTGCATGCTTAATGTCGAGCATCATGATTAAACATTTGCATTATCGATGAGTTGGGACCTGAAAGTTGGCAAGCTTGTTGAGTCGTTGGAGAGACAAAATTGATAGATAAGCCATGAGATGATTCGGAATGTTTTAAGCTTTTCCATGATTCTAAAATGAAACGCAATTTCAACAAGCATTATTTGACCAATTAAGCTACGAGTTTTTTTAGGATGAACACTTGCTGGTGCATTTAACTTATACGTACTATCAAAATTATCATGCCATGTACATATTTACTTTACTGCTTACATTTTAAATATATACTTTCCTCATTTAGTTGTATTGCGATTTGATTGTAGCTTTACATATACAACATTCTTTTTAAAGTTTCACGAGTCATAAATCGATTATATTCCACAATAAAAGTGTATCACCCTGATAAATAGTGAATGTAACCTAGCTAGTATCCTAAACTCTTATTAACAACGAATAATACAAAACTATCCGAATTGATTTATTATTAGGTAATTAATTTGTCAAAGATAAGTTAATCCTGAGAAAGTATTTTAAATCTTTCTCTAAATTAATGAATGTAAGTCCGAAGTTCAAATCTCACACTCCCACAATAATTTAAAGAGTGAGCCACTACAAAAATGAAAAAACTATCTAGATGGACCTTTCCTCTGGCTCTTCATATAACGGTTAGGTCCCTTCCCTTTTGGTGTAGGGTAGTACATGTGTTAGGTGACGCGGCTACAAAGGAAAATTTTTTAGAAAGTAATTTTTCCCTAAAAAAAATTTGGAATAATTTCATAAATCTCCCTTGAGATTTTTCATAATATCACTCAACTCCCCTAAAATTTTAAAAATCTCACTTACTTTCCATGTTAGTTTGACAAGACTAAATATTCCTATCAAATGTCACAATTTGACAACATTACCCTTACTCTTAATAACTATTTAACCAAAAAGCCAAAACCAAATAAAATTTTTAAACCAAAAAATGTAGATTAAAAAAATAAATTGTTATCTAATATTGGTTTGTATTTCTCTATATCGAGATAGTGGTAGGACAGCAAATGATGTGGATAAATTAAATCTAATCAAAGTCAATCACTTATGAAGATTTTGGTGAATAATTAACGCATTGAAAATTAGAATAATCTCTTTATACATGTGGTTTGTAATATAAATTCTATCTATGGAAATTTTTTTTATAAATAACAAAAAACGATCTAATGACCAAATATATATCTAGGAATATCCTTTTTTTTCCGTTAAAAATCATGTGTTATATTAGGTATTAGTTATTGTATATCTACAAAATTACCTGTCATTGTATTCATAACCACTCTTATTTACATCTTTTTATTTTTTTAATCTTATTTATTTTTTTATTGTTATTGTAAGCTTCATAAGTAGGATAACATAAGGGTAGTATTGAAACAAAGATTTTATCTTTCTCGCTTCCCCTCTAAGTCTAAAGGGACTAAAATATTACTATAAGAGATATCAATCGAAGAAAGATACTTGAGATTTTTAAATCTAAGGAGCACTCAGTGATATTATGAGAAATGTTGGAGAGGTTTCTAAAATTATACTAAAAATTTTTCATAAACACATCTTTCAATTACCTTTTTATCTCGTATATATATATATCAAATTATTACAATACATTTTTCTACGAAACTCTACAAAATAGCAATCCAAACATTGGATGACAGACGCAGACCCAGCAAGGAAGGAATATTTGCTTCTGATTCTGTCTGCCTTCCACAATGGCAGCATGCGTTACGGGTATAATCCCACTATGATCATCTCTGTCAACTCCCCCACCAGTCTAATCAGACTAGGCCGATCATGCATCAGTGTATGTACCCAGTGAAAGATCATGCGGCACAATGCAAACTACGTGGCCGACAGAAAATCAGAAGCAACCAGCCAGAACCATGGCCTCCTAGTCACCTAGAAGAAGAAAAGGGGAATATACCAAGCGCCTATAACCATGAGCTAGTGGGGAGAAGTATGATGAGATTGTTACATGGGATCACTCTAAAAGGTCCCACTACATGGACGAATCGGTTCACTCATGCCGAGACTCACGTCCCTACCCTTCTTTCACTTCCAGGCACCTATAACAGTTGTTGGACGTAGCGGTAGTGGAAGGGAATTACCAATGTAGGTTTCATTCATTTAGGGAAAAATGTTCGGCCTGCGTATCCCTACCCTTCTTAATGTTTCGGTCATTGAATGCAATTTCATTCTAATTCACATCTCACTTCATCGTAAAACCTCAATGTTAGTATTTAAAATTTAGACAAGTAAACAAAACGTTAGGGACCATAAAAGCAGAAAGTGAAAATTGTTAAGTAATGGTAATTTGATATGTATTAACGATTAGTCATTGCTGAATTTATGCCAATTGCACTGGATATGCCTAAAATAAAAAATTTAGTGGACCATATTTATTTTAGTTGAAACATTAAGAATAATTTAGTACCCAAGCCAAATATTAAGGGTCAAACTTGCATTTCTCCCTTTAATTTATTAACTCCATTTCATAAAGACCAAACCATACATCCAATGATTATATAGGTATGTATGGATACAAGTCTTTGGCAAAACTTAATTTTTCAAATATACGTTTACAGTAACACACTTTAAAAACACCCTAAAAAACACTTTAAATATACCTTACAAACAAATAAAAATTTATTAAAAAATGAAAATAAGAAATCCCTTTCTTTCTCCACCACTACCCACATGCGACCCTCTCTTTTCACCACCACTGCTTATCCTCTGCCGCCCTCTCATTCCCTCCAAATGTCGGTCACCTCCTCCGCCACCCTCTCCTACCTACCATGTTCTCTTTCCTCCTTTCATCATTCTCTTCCTTCTCTTCCCCCTCTTCCTCAAAGAGAATGGTAAAGAAGAAGGGAAAAATGTGGCATGCAAGGGCAGGAAAATAGAGGAGAGGGCGATAGTGAGAAGAAGTAGGCATAGAAGAGGGGGTGGTGATGAAAAGTTGAGAGTGGAGGGTAGAAGGAGGAGGGACATATTCAAAACATTTAAAAACACCTCAAAAAATTTAAAATTTTAAAAATACATCAAAACATACTATACAAACAGAGTTTTCTACGGATACATCTACAATAAAGTTTTTTTAAAAATATTTTGGAAATCATCTAATCCATGCAAACTCACAAGTTTTCTTTCGTTCTCATATATCATCCAACATCAAATTTTTTTTTCTTTCGTCATACAGTACGAAAACGTAGATCAAGCTTATCTAAATATTATCTGGGGAGAAATGCATTTCAGTCATTTGTGGGTACATATTCAGGGCAGGGGGGAAATTAGGAAAGCCACTCCTTTTCACCTTTTTCCCATTCTATTCAAGTAGATAATGATAACGTGCTTTTGATACATTACTAAGTTGACTACTCCCATGTAAGAGCAAAGCCCCCCATGCCCAAAGCTATCCTCCGTGTAATTGCTAGATTCCCCCGCCAACCCTTATCCTCGAACCGCCCCCACCCCCTTCCCCAAAGAGAAAAAAAGGGTGCTTAGTAGTAGGAGAGACTAGCTAGCAGCCTAGCCAGCGTAGCACTTGATCGATGTAGAATGCTACGCAGCGCTCGATCTTTTCTGGTCTTTGCTCCCTCCAACAGTCCTACGTCTTTTGTAGGGTTTAGTGTCCAACTCCACATATCGGCGGCCTTCTTCCCTCTCTCTCTCTCTCTCTGGACTCATCATCACATGCATGACAAACCAAATATTCCGTCCGTCCTTTCTATCCTGCCTGCTCTTTTTTCTTTTCCCCCCCTTCCCGTTTTTATACAAAGCATTGATCCAAGCATGTTTGTTTTCTTACACCTGAGTGGTGGTGATTCTCTTCTCTTGCAGCCTCCTCCAAACTTTGCGGACGGTTGCGGTCTGAGTTAAGATTCCGGGTGGTTCTTAACAAGAATATTTTGGTATGTTCATCTCCAATTAGCTCCATGCTTTTGCTGTTTTAATTGCATCAGTTCAAATGATTTGAGATGGATGGTTGAGTGACTTAAATGTATTTCGCAAGGAAAAAGGAATCCTGTTATAATAATAATAATAATACAATTACTGTGCGCGCGCTCGTGTTTGTGTCCTTTTCTTTTTCTTTTTCTTTTTCTTTTTCTTTTTGTAGAGAAAGTAGTAGGCTAGTAGTGAGTGAGCGACCTTACGAAGAAAAGAAAATCCAATCGAGTATGGACAAAGAAGCCAGGCGGGGGACTAGTCGACAACTAGCTACGCACCTGCCTGCTAGCTAAGAGCAGATTCGTCCCCTTCTTCGGATTTTAATTTTCCAGTTGAATTCCCAATGATTGTTGGTGCATAATTACTGGCACGCTCACCAACGCTAGCTTCTACTAGTACTTTAATTACTCACGGGAATTGGGATTTACTACTAGAAATTTGCTACTATACTACTTGCTTCTCTCTCTCTCTCTCTCTCTCTCTATATATATATATATAGATATATAGATATATAGATATATTTGCTGGTGGTTAATTTATACTCCTACTAATCTAATTAGGAAACAAGCAGAAGGGACTGACTAGCTAGAGACACTTCTTTCTTTCAAAATGAATGGATTGATAACGTGTCAGTTGCTTACCATTTTTTTCCCTTTCTTTTTGGAGAAACGACATGATAATATATGGAGTAGTAGCAAAAGAATGGAGTATTTATTTTTTTTGTAAACAGAAAAAAAGGAAAAAATGCTCTTTATTTTTGGCTGGGCTGCTGTTCATTTTAAGTCCGTCCATCCATCTTCCTTTTCTCTTAATTAGCCGCTGCATCGATCTCCTTCTTCCCTCCCGACAACTGCAAGGCAACAGCCATTGTGGGCGTCGGAGGAATATTGCGATGGAGCCCGCGTGTCGCGTAGAAGAGTAATTAAATTATGAGATGAGGATTACGTTCTGCATGCAATGCATTTCTGAGGACCAAAGTGCAATTACAGATCACGTTATGTCTTTAAGGATCAGTCTGAGTACCTGCTGCAGGCTCCAATACATTTAATACTAACTGTTCAACAATTTAGATTAGTCGTATACGTACTCGATCTAATATTGGCCGAACATATACATATATACATATACAAGCGTACGTGCAAGATTGAAAAGATTTTTGTGCTTAATTAATTAATCTTCTCTCTTACGTTACAATGCTTACTGTATGTATGTATATATATGAGAGCAGTATTCTCCTGATTGATAATGTTTTGCATTTGGTTTATACTTCATCATTATGTTTGAGGTTTTATTTAGCACCCACCATTATCGATCTTCTTATTCCACGCTCTCGCATCAGTAAGTTAACGGCAAAGCATGCAGCAGAGGATCCAAAATTAATCATTATTTTTTATCTTAATTTCCTTTTTTTCTTAAACGTTATATTATATATGCGTAGTAGTAGTGTTAACTTCACTTTGTTTAGTTCTGATGCAAATGAATGCCAATTAGGATTTGAGGAGTTTATAAATGAAAGAAACCACATAGAGGTAGGTAGGTAGAAATGAAAAATTAATACATGTAAGAGTAGTAGTATCCCCCCCGCGGGATGAACATAAAATGCTGTCCTGTTTTCAGCAAATCATCATGAATCACGATGTTATATATGTTACCTCTTCTTCTTAATTCCCAGAGTAGTCAGAAATGAGATGCCGTATATTATATATGAGGAGGACGACCGTAATTATAAGGTGAGTTGGGAATGATGGGGCCTAGGCCCTGCAGGGTATTACTTACTAATCCTTGTCCTAGCTAACAAACACTAGTAATATTGAAGTTGAAGATATACATATATATATGTACAGTACCTTCCTAGCTAGGCGGTCATATATAATCCTAGTCCTATTACATTTCTTTTTTTTTTTTGGCATTAATCATCCAGATTAAAGTGCAATATGACAGCCCAAAAGTTGGAGTCGGTGTTTCCAATGTATGTTTGTTTTCTTCTTCTTCTTCTTCTTCTTCTTTTACTCCATGGTAAATGGAATACAAGGAGTAACATCATACTACTGGAAGAAAGAAAGAATTTAGGGTTGCATCTCAAAGGAATAATCTGAAGTCAGCAAAGAAATGCATGGTATAAGCTAGATTGCTGTAATTAATACACTACTTTTTATCTTTCTTCCAATTTCCACTAAGTTTTTCCTGTCTTCTGCAGATCGATTTGTACTTTTTCTTCCATCTTGTATAGCTCTTTTGTAGCTCGGTGCTCGCCGAAGCTTTTGTAGCTAGCTCAGAAAGCGTATTAGGACATCCTAAACTGAAGCAGTTGTTCGCCTTTGTCCTATTCCCATTCCTAGTACTTATAATGGAGGATCAAAATCATTTTTACGGAAATTAATAAAACATTCTCCCTCGATTGCATTGCATCATCCGCTGGTATGGTATCTACTAGCAAAATCTCATTCCTTCTGCATCTTCCTGTTTGATGCTCGATTCTTGCATACTACTTAGTCTGCTCGTATCCAATTGCCTTTTTTAAGTGTTAATTTGTGTGCATGATATATTATTGAGATAAGAGTCCTTTCTCTTCTCTAACAGCCTATTCTGAGGATGTATACAAACTAACGTCCAATTGACATCATATCTGCACTCTTTTCCTTTTAATTAATTCCTGCATGCAGCTACGGATAGATGCTTTCAGGCTGAGTTCAACTAATGACGAGATATATTCGACTTTCAATGTTTCAGAAATTTGAGCACACCGAGTCCAGATTGCAGCTTATGCCATTTCTGAAATGCTTAATGCAACACAGTAGAAAAAAGTAAAAGGAAAAAAAAAAAGCAAAGCAGCCAGAATGAAATTTATGAAGCTTGGGACAAGACCGGACACCTTCTATACAGAAGAGGCCACCAGGTACAATGCATGAATCTTAAGCAAAAATTGGAACGGAACTAGGTTGCCATCATGATAAAATTAATAGAAATGTATCTGCCTAACGCAATCTGTTTCGTAAATATTGATGCAGGACTGTAATTTCAGGGGTGCCTACTGACCTCACTGTTCGCATCAACAACATTTCATATCACCTTCACAAGGTATGAATGATACATAGGAAAAGGGAAAAAAGAAAAGAAAAAGGATTTGTTATGTTTTGAGTTCTATATGTTCGTTCCCCTTGTGTGATGTGATGGTTTGGCTTCATAATGGAAACCAATAGGCGCAACCCAAAAAGCTGTACTGCAATGAGAATTTGAAAGGTATTAGATAGAACTCACAGTATACTCAGCAATGAGGAAACATGAGATATCCATAATAGGATAGCGTATGAATCTACGAGACGAAAATGGTAGCCGAGCCGAGAAGTGAGAATCACTATCACAAGCCTCAGGACATTCACAACTGTCATAACAAATCAGTATGCGGAATATATAGGAGCCCAAGGCTACCCGAGGATTAATAAGAAAAGGACAAGGGACAAGAACAGCATGTCTTGCACCTTTTAATATGCCAATCTCGGAGATTCATCGTCATAACCTGATTTTACGCAACTGGTTTTTGAAAAACAAACAATCCCTGGACCATTTTTAACTCAAAGAGAATTTTATGCACATTAAATGACTCCTGTTCCTACTGCAAGCTACGGAAGCATACCATTTTTCGCATTTACACTTGCGATTATTAGGATCCTGTGCATGAGTTCTAGAATTTTTTCCAACTGCAGCTTCCGCTACTTCCAAAGTGTGGCCTCCTGCAACAACTTTGCTCAGTCTCTGAGGAATCTGGAAATGTTACTCTTGAGCTGCATGATATTCCTGGAGGAGAAAATGCTTTCGAGCTGTGTGCAAAATTTTGCTATGGAATCACAATCAATCTCAGTGCTCATAATTTTGTATCTGCTTTCTGTGCTGCAAAGTTCCTCCGAATGACTGAAGCAGTTGAGAAGGGAAACTTCGTTGCAAAGCTAGAGGCTTTCTTCACTTCGTGCATTCTGGAAGGCTGGAAAGATTCCATTGTCACATTGCGGAGCACTGGAAAGGTTCCTGAGTGGTCAGAGAATCTTGGGATCATTAGAAGATGCATTGACTCTATTCTTGAGAAAATACTGAAACCTCCAGCAAAGGTCAGAGATATTCTGAATCCTAATTTATTCTGATTGGCTCCAAAGACTAGCCAATATCTTCCATTTTAGACATTAGTATTTAATTTGCGTAAAGGACATTTGTAGGTCACATGGTCCTTCACTTACACTAGGCTGGGATATGAACGAAAAGGTCACCATTCCGTACCACGAGACTGGTGGACAGAGGATGTATCTGACCTTGATTTAGACCCCTTCAGATGCATCATTGCTGCCGTAAGGTCCACCAACATTCTACCTCCTCAGCTGATTGGTGAAGCTTTGCACGTCTATGCATGTCGTTGGCTACCAGATCTTACAAAGACCAGTGGATCTTCTGAAAGTTCAGGTGCCCAATCTGCCCAAAGGAAACAGCAAATCCTTGAAACCATTGTTAGCTTGATTCCGGTAGATGGAGGATCTGTCTCAGTCGGATTCCTACTGAGACTCCTCAGCTTGGCAAATCTCCTAGCGGTTTCTCCAGTAATAAAGGCTGAACTCATACGGAGATCAGGCCAGCAACTAGAGGAGGCAAAGCCGAATGACCTGCTGGTTCCCTCTTGTAATTGTGATGATCATTATTCCTATGACATTGACTTGGTTGGGGCACTACTAGAAAGTTTCTTGAGGCTGTGGAAGAGACGATCAAGAGAGAGGCAATCCATTAAGTCAATCATTAATGTGGGAAAGCTCGTTGACTCTTATCTTCAAGCGGTCGCAATGGATGTCAATATGCCGGTGCAGAAAGTGGTTTCATTAGCTGAAGCTGTTCCAGAAATTGCGCGACCTCAGCATGATCAACTGTACAAGGCAATCAACCTTTATCTCAAGGTAAGCTTCAATCGTCATGAAATGGGACTTGGGCACAAATGCCAACAGCAGATTCCTTGTTCTCTCAAAACCTGCTACTACTAGTGTTTGTGTAGCCATGATGCCGTAATTTGACTGCAACTAAACACGGACACAGGAAAGAATAGATAGTATAGTTTGTGTGCACGCACTATCTAGTTGACCATTAAATGGAATGCTTTGTGGGGCAAAGAAAAAAAAGAATGAGAAGCATGCAATATTTGCCTTTGGAGCATTTCAATTCCATGTTAATTTATCAAACATAAAATGCATGCAGGACGACCAAATAAATGCACGCTTTAAAAAAAAAAAAAAAAAAAAAAATGCTTGTGTATATCTTCACTGTCTACACTGCTAGTTGCTCACAAATGTCTGCCCAGGAGCATCCTGGTCTGGCCAAAGCAGATAAGAAGCAGCTCTGCCGCATTCTTGACTGCCAGAAGTTGCCTCCGGAGATACGTTTGCATGCAGTGAGAAATGAGAATCTACCTTTGAGAACTATTGTGCAGGCACTCTTCTTCGACCAAGGAAGAGGCTACAGGGGAAAAGATCAAAAACTTCCAACTGGAGAGCAATTTCGCAGCTGGCAACAGATCTCACAACTTTGCACGGATGATATGAGCAAACCTAAATTGCGTTCAAGTAAAGAATCACCTGAAGCAGAGGGACTCAAACACCATGCACCCGTTGCAAGCAAACGAGTAAATAAAAATTTGAGCAAGTCAGATGGCAGGCCGGGCATGGAACCCACATCAGACACTCCTAGACACGATGGTGCCGTAAGAGATTCAAGGAAAGGCAAGGAAGTCAGAGACCGCAATAACGGGAGTAAGCCCGAGCATCTCCAGATCTTAGCCAGGAGAACAGGATCGCACCACAGCCAGGGTAAAAGCTGAGAGAGCTAGCACAAACGTAGTCGAGTATATTCTCCTGTAGATAAATAAAACGCAGATTTCTAATCAGAGCTCATCTTTGGACATGCCGATCACCAATTTGTACAGCACTCAAATTGAAACTATTCCCAGTAGTCCATTGAAGCTGTTGCTCACTGAAGGAGTGACTCAAAAAACTCCAATAAAGCTATATCCTAGTAGCAGGTAGCGGAGTGACTCAATGGTAAATTCTTTCCACGTTTCAGCGGAGAACTCGAGTATACTTCAGCAAGAAACCATTCAGCAATATGTTTACTCAAGTACACTTCAGCAAGAAACCATTCAGCAATATGTTTACCGTATTTAGTAATGCTTTTTCTTCTATTCTTGAAGCATGATTTCCGACATGATTGTTCAGCAGAAGAAACTACTCCATATCTGCTCCATTTGGGGCCTAAACCACTTAGAGATTTTCCTCTTTAGGTGCTAAGATCTGTAGCTTTTTCTTGTTTAAGTTGCATCACACTATTAAAGTTCCTTCACTGAATAATTCCCTCGTTTGATAACAGTGGTATCTCTAGTTCTTCTGTGTAAATCAACAAAACAGCACCCACATTATGTGAGAAATTGTATGTAGAGTTTTAGACCTTTTATCTTCCACGCTCCATAATAGACTGTAAAAAAAAAAAAAACACAATACAAACACTTACAGGAAACTTTACAGGTAAAAGGCGTCAGTTTTTCTGCAGAGAGAACCCTACCTACCATTCCCACCATGATAACCAGGTCTAATCTATCTGATATAACATGTAAACTGAAATTAATATCAACATTTCATAATAAAACTACTACTCTGTTAGATTAGCCTTTATACGAACATATCATTTCTGAACGACAATGATGAACCTAATGTTTATTCCAACACATCAAAAGAAAAATCAAGGAATTAAATAAATTTCTCACATCGAGGTCAAGCAAATTTGAGTACCGCATCAATAAAATGCAAAACCAAAAGAAGATACTGTACAGTTGCCAAGAAGTTGGCAGGCAGTAAAGGCCACTGCAACCGAATCTCTTGATGTGTACAAACTACTTTGTGTACAATGGGCAATACATGCACAAAAATTTGCCCACAGATAAGCCAAGAGCCTCTCTTAAGTTTCAACACCTCAAGTAAAAAATGAGTGTGATTCACAAGATTGACAAATTCAAAATACAAGTTAACCAAGAGAACGAGGAAACGAGTTAACCAAGAGAACAAGCTTCTGAAATATGCTGCTCATCTAGTCTGAGACTCCAGCTGGATCTTTGATTCGGTACCGTTATGATCTTGGGGTCAATCTCTCGCGTTCAGACTGAAGCTGGTGCTGCATGTAAAGAGATCATAGTTTAGATCTTGTCAAGAAAATATGAACTGGACAATGGTCCATAATCAATAAAACAATAAATGCTTCAAATAATATAGCCAGCTGACAGTCAATTCCTGAGTACTAGTCTTGAACATGTCTTTAGTCAAAGGCAACATAAGAGTAAATGTATTGCACATGAATAAATTGATCACCAAACACAATTTTTTTTTTTAACTGTGTTGTTTATCAAGACAATCAAATCATGTTATATGTAAGATTCTCCATGTCCTATTTACCTGCATCCAACTCATTTGTGTTATTTACTATAAGAATTCACAAAACTAGTCCAATTTATAATCATCATATTAGAGGCGATACTAATAAAGACTGAACTAAGCCAAACTAGAGTTTTTCCAATAGCTAACAATCTTCTCTTAGGTCCTCTGTGTTATAAACTTGTAATACTCATTCTGTTATCTTCCAAGGAAATATGTTTTAGTTTTGGGTAAACCATCGAGGAAGCTCCTAGGTTTGACAAGGTTCATTTCGACCCTATTCACTTAATTTCCTCAATTTAGTCTCTAAACTAACATATTCGGTTTGTCCTCATCCTAAATTCCCTATCCTGCAGGCAGGTTTGATAGCACTGCATTCCTACTTGTGCTCATGAGCCATTTATTTACCTTCCCAGGTAATTTGTATATTCCCTAACAAATTGGAATGTGAATATATTTAAAGAACCATAAACAAAGGACCGTGTCTTTACCGAACATGACATTATCAACTGTCTTTTCAAAGAAAAGCATTCCTGATTGATTAAAATACAACTATTAAATAGTTGAATCATTTTACCACTTGTTCATAAAGATTAGTTAATTTGGATGGGATCCTAGTAATAGAAGATCCCAGCATTTAGTGAGACCCAGGATTCATGCATAAAAGAGTTCAAAAAATCAAATCTACTACGTTCAACTGGATACGTGTCATGTTCAATGTGGACAAACATACTCACCTAGTCCTTATATATAATAAAAGTACATGACGTATAACACTAATGCTCAATTCAAATTTGTAATAATTTGTAATAAGCCATCATATTTGAATTTGACTTTCAGATATTCTTCCAGATTTGAACCTAAACAATCCTCATGTGAATCTACTACCAATTTAGGTTTTTAATTTGGTATGATGGTAAATAAATTGAATGAGAAATTTTAATGATGTATTAAATTCTTCTCCAAATTTAGAGTATCCATTTAAAAAAAAAATGAAAGTTATCAAGAGAACCGTTTTCAAGTTTTTTGCTATAAGCTGCAAATAGAGTAATCACTGATCCTACACCTTTTGGTAAGGAGCTAATTCCACTAACCTCTTTTTTGATGTATGGCGTGATTACAAGGTTCCCTACAATATCCTATAATATTCTTAAGGGTGATATTCAAATTCAGAGCATGTTTATGCTCTCATAAACACCAAGTTGACATTCATGTAACATTATATGAACATGAAAGGAAGGGTCAACCAGTGGTGGTTTGGTCCAGTTGCACTAAATGCTTGCCCAAGGCCAGGTGGAAGGAGCTCAAATCCCCTCCACCTCTTTTCATCCCCCTTTGTACAGCTGATCTATCCCCTTTTACCACTAACAGAAAATTTTGGGGGGAGGGGCTTGGTTTACTACAGTTGCAGAACTAGAGAAAACGTGTTTGTCCATCAAGCCCTAACTTTGACATATAGTAGTTATATATGTAACAGATGAAATCATTAAATTCACTTACAAAGAAAATTAGAATAATTTGGAGGGTCTCTTGGAGTTTCTCATAAAACAATAAAAAGCACTCACCTGAAATAGTAATAGTTTGCTATAAGTTCCACTAACTGATCTCTGTGGACATTTTCTAGTGTCAATGTTAGAACCTTTTCCCAATTTAATTGTTGACCACACCAAAATTGAAGTTTTTCTTGCTTGTTCGGAAAACAAAATATTGTGTTTCTAGGAATTTTTCAAGCGATGCATGACATGCCAATGAAATATTAACGCATTAACTTAAAAAACTAATGATTATGTAATAGTAGAAATCCTGCAAGATCATTTCGTTCAGGGTTCTCAGTCCAAATGTCAAATTGAACAGAGCTATATTTAGTTAGATTTGAATTTCCTATCTGTGATTCCTAATAGCTTAAGCAAAAGAAAAGTTCTTTTCGGAGGTTTCGTTGGGAAGAGAATCTGGATTCAGTAATTCCATTCTCAGTTTCATTCGCGGATGTATTAATAATTGGGAACTACTATAAAATGTCTCATTGTGTTTTTGGTCTTCCAAAAGATGTGAACAATGGTCCTGACTCTAGTTCTTGAGTGTAAATGCATTTAACCTTCCTCTGCAGAAATCAAATGTTAGGGGAAATTTCTGTGAAACTTTCATACTTGGAAGAGATGGCTAACTACAGATGCTATAGGCACTTCCAATTCATGATCTGGTTTTGATATGTAAATGGCGCAAGAGAAGTCAAAGTCAGCCAAATTATTTCAGACCAAACATTCAAATGTTTGAGATTGCCCATCGATAGATCATTTATGAAGGATTTTTCAGATACAAAACACCATAATCTAATAATGAGCATCATGCTAAAATCATTTCTGACTATCCAGCAAAATCTTTTATGAAGGAAAAGATATTAAAGGTCATCTAATGTGTCATACAACTAGTTTTTTTAATATTAAGAGTACATCAAAGGATGAAAGTACTCAGAACATGAACAATTGTTTGCAGCATGCAGCAGCATTACCTGAGTTGAATGTGATGAGCTCTCAGCCAAGTATTTGACAAACTCTTGTTTCTTTATTTCATAATTGAACTTCACTTGGTCCAAAACTATTTGTTCTCTTCGGATATCTTCCGACAATCTTTCCTTTTTCCATTTCTCCTCCTTCATCGCAGTTTCGGTTTCAAAATACTCTTTAGGTAGACTTGACCTTCCTGAGTTTTTGGGAAACCTCAGAACTACGTCTTTTCTGCATGCACACAATTTCAAAGCAACAGAAAACAGCCTATCAGGAAATGAATATGGGATCAATAGATAAATTCGCAGATACACTTGTTTTTAGATCATTACATCTTTGCTACCTCACTTGTGGACACTTTTCTGGTGTTTTGAGCTTTGGAACATATGGACAGCAATTAAAAATACTAAAGCATTAGGCCTATCAACTTCTACTTTATGGATCAATTCAAAGGGCCAAGGTCTCCATCCAGAAAGCAAATCAAAGTAGTCAAGTAAATGGCCTAAAAGATCCACAGAGAATTCAAAACCACAACCACCAATATTTTTAGGTACACATACATTTCACACATTTATTTTTATGTATTCCTTCCTAATATAATAAGTTTCTTTTGCCAAGCCACTCTCCTGGATAGAGCCCTGATCATTACTCTTTTCATGGGGCTCAGTAATCACTAAAGATGAGAATGTCTCCTGAAGTTGATCAAAAGAAGAAGCCTCGCTTTAGTTTCCTGTTTTACTGCTTCAAAACAAAAACAAATATAATATGAAAAAGGCAATCTATGTGGCCATTTAAAAAATCAGAAAGGGATTAAAGCACCTTCAGTATATTTTCATCAAAAACACGGATAGTCAGGAAAAATCAGAGAGCATTTAAGAAACAAAAGGGATAGGTATGTGAACCTCATAAATATCAGAGGAAAAAAATTTAGGACTCTATAGGTAGATTTCCACAGCAGCTCATTTGATGATGCATTTAAGTTAACAAGTCAATGATATGAGTTGGAAATCAACAAGTTTGAAGGAGAAGTATATGTAACATTGGACTCAAAGGAACCATAATATTAACTTCCAAAAATGGCACAAGTTGTTTACTCTCTAACAGATATCAATCAGAAATATTTCCCCTTCCAAATAAGTTTTTGACAAAATTGACCAATGTTTTTCAAGACAAAGCTTCTTACCCTTTTCCCAGGCAAAACATACCAGCACCTCTCATGATCCCACCATCCAAAGAAAGAGCAGCATCAGTCATAAATGGGAGAGCCCGTAACATCTCTTCCCTAGTTCTGTACACCTGCAACCGGGAAAAGAGGCTATAGAAGAGAGTCTCTCTCAGGCCACGGCCACTGCTTGTGACAAAGTATAGGTTGCTCTTGTCAATGTTGATCATATTCACAGCAAATCCAAGAAAGCCAGGCGGAGTTTCTCCATTAGGTAATCGTGGTTTTACTATGTCAAGCCTCCGCTGCGGGTCATTGACCACAAAGTTGCCAACAAATGGTCTGTATACAAGGCAGTATGATGTATAATTAAGAGGAGAGAAACGCTTTATGCAGAAACAAATAAGTGCTGAACAGATGAATCTGGCAACCACAAACCTTAGGTTTTCCAGGCAAATTGCTAGAAATCGACCATCTAGAGGCCTTTCAATTGAAGCTCCAAGTTCATGAAGACCAGAAGTCTTACTTATGAAGCCTTCCTTATCATACGCTTCCAGCGCTTTAACACAATTATGGGTTTTGCAGACAACTGCTAGCATCTTTTCTGTCCCCAGATACTCTGAGAGAAGCCTAAGATTAAGATTTAACACAAACTGTCAAACTAAAAAACAAGTTCGTAACACTAGCTTCACAGAAATGAGAAGCACAAGACACTTGGATTCAAAATAATGATATGCTGAAAGATGAAAGTCATAGCAGAAACTTGGTAAACCAAATAGTTTTTGGTATAAGCTCTGTAGTTAAATGCCATCATCTTATATAATCCAATACCAAGCTTGATAATAGAGAAAGTCGTGTTCAGTTGATAGTATGGAGAATTTTAAACAAGGACTCCAATGTCAAACGAACCTGCTAAGGTTATCATCCTCAACATTTCCAAGAGTAGCAACAACGCCAACCACATCTTTCATCCATGCAAGATGAGAAGCATGAGATTCATGACAAGCTTTCAGCTGAAATAATGTGCCAGCAGCAGAATTCTCATGTGCCAGAATATGTTCAACCATCTCCTCTTCACTACCCACGTGAGAAAGATCCTTATTCTCCATCCTGTGTGTACTGGATGAATGATACTTGCCAAGAGCAACTAAACAAAGAAAACTTATCAGACAGAAGCGTAGAACAGCGTGGGGAATAAACACACAGTATAATTGTATGTAAAAGATATAGTTGAAGAATAGGAACAAAGGTAGACAGGAAGCAAAACATGTCAAGGAACTGATAGATCTAGGAACTTAATTATTGGGAAAAGATAAAACCATGAACGTACTACTAACTTGAGAGAATAATGAATTGGCAAAATAGCATCCTTAGAGAAGACATGAGGATTAATCACAGAAATGCTCAGCTCCAAAGACCTCATCTTCTTAATCTATTCCTCTAAACTGTACAATCAGAACTCGAAGTACCCTTTTTCGAGCACAAATTGAGGCAACATACCACACATGCTGATTTAATGAGTGGAAAGAGAAATGAAGAGACATACCTTGCATGTCAAGAATCGAGTCATCCAATCTGTGAACTTGTTGCCTCAAATATTTGATGTTGTCCTCATGTTGTTTAATTTTAAGACCCAGACAATGAATGTCATCTTCAAGTTTCTGCAATGTCAGCATGAATTAAATTCCATATTGAGCCATATTATTTGAGAGAATCAATTCTGTATGCTAGAAAAACTCAAAGTTGGAGTCACACAGGCATCTTTGTAAGTGGGAATGTCCTTGACAACCTTAGAATCGTAGGCAAATGAAAGTGGCTGAGAATAGGCTCCATTCCTGGTTTCGTCCATCTTTTCAGCCATGTATGGAAACAGCTTGAGATGGCAACGTATCCTGTACAGTGGTTGCCCTTGTATTAATAAAAAGCTGGGTGCAAGACAGAACAAGATCGACAAAAGAGGAGTTTTGTATGAAAAGGCTGAATTATGAATTTAGGACAGATTAGGCGTGGAAAGGAGGAGAACCATATAGATAGAACTATGATGACAAACAAAAACAAGAAAACCCCTTTGGATTGGATGGCCAACAAAATTACAGGATCCTGAATGCAGTGCAAATTTAAAAAAGGCATAGAGGAAACCACATAAAAGGAGAAAGAGTGTATAAATTATCCACTTTAGCTCAACTTAAAAAAAAAAAATCCACTTCAGCTCAGCAGCAGATATTTAATTAAGACGGGGAGTGTGGTTTGGGAGGGGTTGGAAAATGGGTTGGCATAAAAAGCAGCGAAAACAAATAGGGGATTTGGGGACCCAAATCAAGTACTTGAATGGGGTAGCTGCTAACTAGAAATTCATCAATCAAATGGATACGAACATAGGAAATTGAGAATGAAGCATGCGTCCAATTAAAACTGATAAGATATTTAGCTTTATATAATTAAAATTGACCAATTAGAAAACCAAGAACTGACATCATTGCATGCATCCAGGAAATTTCAGATACTGAAAAAAAAACCCAAACACTAGCCTGAGAGAGAGCAATTAGCAGTAGAAGCTATGTAATGTAAGTGTGGGATGATAATGTTAGGCAACTAAACAATTAAAAAAAAAAAAAAAACGTAGGGAAATGGAAGAGAATGAAGAAAGAAATTGGAAGTACAATCCCAAGTGCAGCGGCAAACTTACAATATGCAGAGAGAGAGGAGACAAAATCGTGAAAATGGAGTCTGTCGTCTGTATCCTGTAGAGGAGGAGAGGAGAATGTGGTTACCCCTCCCGCCGCCGCCGTATCGCTATCAGACTGTGTTACTCCGAAATTCACTACCAACTCTCCCTCACTCTCAGTATCAATTTCATGCCAAGTGTGTGATCTAAGAAGAGGCCTCCTCCTCCTCCTCCAGTCTTCCTCAGTTGGGGCGGATTTCGCTCGGGCAGTGTTGCCTTCCTTCCGTGCTCTCTTTTACTCTCTCCCTCGTCTCTGTTGCTGTTCCACTCTCTCTCTCTCTCTCTCTCTGTTGCTGGACCCACCCGCTGCCGCTGGCCTCGATCCTAACGGACATTTTCGTTACGCGCGAGTGATAAAAAGGTAATTTCAGAGACCAGTTTAAGAAAGATGGAAAATATTTCATCATATGAATTTTTTTATTCTTTTATATTTAAAATGATAAATTGAGATTGCATATAAAATTAAGTCGATAAATTTTGATCTCAATTTAAATTTTCAATCACTTTTTAACATGAATCCCTCACATTACTTCACATAGCGATTTTTTTAGGAGAGAAAATGTGAGATTTTATTTATAGATAAATAAATGACCTAATTCATATTTATTTTTATTCTTAAAAAAATAAAATTTAATTCCAATAATATTTATTTTATCATAAAAAAGTGAAATTTGATCCAATTTATATTTATTTTTATAGCTAAAAAAATGAAACTTAGCACTTTTATATATATAAAAATAATTGCATATGGATTATACAGTAATTTCATATTAAAAAATGATTGAAATTTTAAATTAAAATAATATTTTATTTATTTAAATTTATAAAAAAATATAAAATTAATATTTTAAAAGTTAAGGATAAAAAAATTTATTAAAAAAAATATGAAGGACGTTTTCCTTGCAAATAATATGAAATGCGGATATGAAAAGGATATTCGGGCCGTTTGCCAAAGAAAAAGAGAAGTAAATCCAAAACAGAGCAAACTTAAGTTATGAGAGAAGAGAAGGGATTGTTTTGTTGTTTGGGAGTTTTGAGAATTAGTGAAATAATTTTGGATATAAAAATTATTAAATATTTGTTCAAGACATTTTTTAGGATAAAATAGATATTTTAAAAAATTTTCATAAGCTTCCTTCAACTTTCTCTTCATTTCTCTCCAATTTGAAAGGAAAAATTTTACTTACCATTTATCCTCTTAAATCCTTCCATTTCTCTTCTTTTCTTTCCTGATAAAAACTAACAAACGAAGGAAATGTTCGCTTTCTCCTCTTTCCCTTTCTTTTCTCTCCAAATCCTCCGCTCCCAAACGAAGAGGGGGGAGTCAATAAATAATCACAATCATCAATCATCACCATTTAGAATGCCACAACTAGCAGTCGAAGAAATAAGGCGGGAGGTGGGGTTATATTAATTTTATATTGTTATATATTATTGAGTCTGGTGTAATTATGAATCCCCGTAGAATTGATTGAGAATATGCGTATTGATTTGAAAGTTGAAACTGCCATGAAATTATTGATGATCAGCAGCAACAAGTCCTTGGCCTCGCCCTCCGCCTCCTCCTCCTTGCCTCCGCTCTGTCCTCCCTCCATTTTCTTCTAATTAAGGTAAAAAAGAAAAAAAAAATAAAAAAAGACCCTCTTTTTCCCTCTACTTTCCTCTTTCTCTTTCTCGGTATTGTCTGGGCTTGATTAATATTCATCTTCTCTAACATTTGCTGTCAGGGGAATGCTTAAAACCCTAAGCTTTGACAAAAATCTGTCAGTTTGTGGACGTTTAATAAATGTGGATGCGGATGCATATTCTTTTCTGAATCCTAGCGGGGTTTTCAGGGATATGGAAACAAACGGACCGGTGGTTTAGGGTCTCCAATCCATTGTTTATGCGGCCTCTCACACTGCTTTGCTTTCTACCATTCTTATGCATTCGATAAATATTTCAAATCTTTTACAGCTTCTTCCTTTTTGCCTCTGTCTCTGTCTCTGTCCCGCTCTTTTTGTGGTTCTTCGGCTGGAGGGAATGAAGGGGAAGGGGAGGAAGTCATTTCCTTTTTCTTTTTTTTTTGGCTGTGGCCTTTTCAGTTGTTCCTAGGCCAATTCTTCAGGCAACTTGTAGTTTCTTTTTTGTCTGAATCTAATTAAGTTTCTTTGTTTCTTCGTTTGATATATCCTCACAGGGACGGGGACTGGTTTTGCCAAAACAGAAAGCAAACGAAAAAACAAGAAAAGATTAAATCGAAGTTTACTTTTACTATTGACCGTGAATCTAAAATGTAATAGCTAGCTATTCAACATCTCATTTTGCTATCTGAAATATCTCTTTTAAGTTCTTTTCCGTATAAAAGTAGTATTACGGGCTATCGCCAAGCGAAATGTGCTATGGTGGATTCTATCCTTCCTTTTTTCTATCGCTCAATCATACACATCAGCTATTAATTCAAAGCGGAGATTAATAATAAGTTGGTTTTAAGTTCAATTTGTATGCATTATCAGGTTTTAAACATCAGCCTTTGTAGTTCAAAAATTCTGGAACATATCTTTGTATGTTATGTTTTTTTTTACTGGCATATAAGCACACGAGGATATCATGTTTACTAAGATACTGATTCAATATTGCTATCATCAGTAAACAATTTAACTGCGTTCGTGCTACTGTATGGCCAAATACTTTTATTTCTATTCAAAAAAAGAACAAAGAAACATATGTTGTGCAAGTATGTCAAAAGTATGGAAAACACATTAATGAATTAAAAGGTGATGTCTTCAGTTAAAGACAAAAGTGTATGGATAAGTTACACCTTCAATTGTTTGCAATTACCTATTCTTTTGCAGTCCATTCTTTGGAGTTTTTTTAGTGTTATCTCATTGATTATTCCTTTTAAGTATATCCTATTCTTTGACATATCATTGGATGTTTTTTCACTAATTCATGCATCAACACTTTTTCTGAAATGATATGTCAAAAATTTTGTAACATTTAATTTACAGGTATGGAGTGTTTTGGTTTCTGTAAGATATCATGTTGCGGTGCTTAGACGGTGTGAAGCATTTACTTTCTGCTGTTGTCAATTGCTGTGATTCTGAAATTTGTAAGCAACCCCGAGGATTAGAAAATCCTGAAGCTCTTGCAAGGGAGACTGTCTGTATGTCACTCAAGACTGATTTCTAGCATTGTACTAAGAGCCTATGTTATGTCACTTGCATTTCTTTTTCACACTGAAGGAAACGAAACTGTTACTTAGATCACGTAGCCTTATTTTCATTGAATGGCACGTGCTTCATTGACATAATTGTCGCGCAAATTGAGAAATTAATTTTACTTAGTTGAACTTCTGGCATCTGACTGGACTGAAATTTCTACTGCTGATTGGCCAGGGGTGATTTAAATTAACAAAGACTGCAGTATTTGCTCTATGCTATTCTTTTCACAGTGCATTTAAGCTCTGAGTTAAAGCTGCATGAGGCAAAAATAAGTTACCAGTGTCCATATAAATTCTCAAAGACTGAAGGAGTTTCTCTAGCACTTGGTGACTCCTTCTTCCATGTCAATATCAGGTGCCATGTCTTAACTTGATGCAAGCTCAGGCCACAGATTGAACCATGGCTTCTTTTGGAGAATTGGTGTCATATCTTAGGAAAGGCAAAAGTATACAAGAAAGTAGTGGCGTAGAAGATATTAATCATGAAGAGAATACACTTATTTTAAGCACATGTAGATGATTTAAATAGTCTTGAAGATAGTAGACATGATCATCTAGCTGGTTCTTACTTCACATATCTCCTATGTGATAAATGGTCTAACAAAGATGTTGAGGTTTGCAGACCTTATAAGTGTTTTTGAAAATGTGGTGCATTTTCTTCTCAGTAGTAGATTGCCTAAATTGGGGGCATCTGGAGAGTTTGTCTTCTTTGTACCGTGCTCAGCTCATTTTCCTTGACTAAGTGGAATTTCTAATATTCAGAGCTTACTTCACTTTCGTGCTGATAAGAATTTTTTTTTTATCAGTTGTCTACCAGTTGTTCTGATTTGGAAATTTTGCTGTTATTTTTTCTTCTTTTCCCCCTTTTTGGGAAATCTGGCTGCAGTCAGTGTCAGTGAGATAGAGGCACTGTATGAATTATTTAAGAAGATCAGCAGTGCTGTGATTGATGATGGGCTTATCAACAAGGTAATAGATTTCACCGTAAGTGGTACAAGTGCTATTCAAACATAGCCATACTGTCAATGCACTGACTTGTACTTTTTCTGTCTCAGTTACATCCCTCATGTTTTTGTTTTTCTATATTTTGTAGTTGATTTATGTTTTTTCCTTAATTATGCTAATTAATTGCTTTGCAGGAAGAGTTTCAACTTGCACTATTTAAGACAAATAAAAAGGAGAGCTTGTTTGCTGATCGGGTACTTTCTGCAAATGTTGAACAATAGAATTGATTTGTTTGATTCATGTCTGTCTCCATTAGGAGTATGTAGCTTTTCTAAGCTGCTTTCCGACGCCCCCTGTTCTCTTTGTGTGGAAAGTATTCAAACTTAGTCACGTTTCCTTTTGATAATCGATGACAAAATCATTAAAACTTCCCAGGTGTTTGACTTGTTTGACACAAAGCATAATGGGATATTAGATTTTGAGGAGTTTGCACGCGCTCTTTCAGTCTTTCACCCAAATGCTCCGATTGATGATAAGATTGACTGTAAGCATCTTTCTTTTTACTTCTTATTTCTTCTCTCTCATTCTCTCAAAGGAATGTTTTACAATTTATAAGATACACAGTTGAGAAGGGATTTGGAAATTCTGGGACCTGGTCATTACCTCCAAGACTGTACTTTGACTGATTGTTGTGGCTTCCATGAAGTAGGTCCCATTATGGACATAAAGTAACTTGAATTGAAAATTCTGGCCTGACTTGTACGTACCACTATGACCACAAGATGGTTCTGACAATTTTTTCTCTTGGTGATGCCAAATTTGCTCTTTTGTAGTTTCATTCCAACTTTATGATCTCAAGCAGCAAGGATATATTGAAAGACAAGAGGTAACTTCCTTATAACCTTATTGGAACTAATATAAGTAATTATATGGCAATTGTCTGGTTATTTTTGTGTTTAGGGTTTAAGAACAGTTAGAAATAAAGGGTTACTTCTTTTAGTAATCCTTTTTTTTTTAATTAGCATTGCTTGGGATTGCTATCTGGAGTTTGAACTTTTACGGTCTGGAACCCCCAAACGACTAAGTCAACATGATCAGGTTGTTCTAGTTCATCTCTAAAGTATTCATTTAGAGAACAATGGAAAAGCTTTGGCAGTGAATCATTAGAAACTGAGTAGCTTTCTTTGCCAAGATTTGGCAGCATAATAAAAGGATTCTGTACTCAATCTATGCTTTTGTGCAAAAACAAGTTTGCATAGTTTTGTTTTAGCGCCCCTACTTCAGTGCTTATAGCAAAAGCATGACAACCATCATTGCCCGTTCGTTTTGAAATTAATTAGTGACTAGTTGATATAGTTGTTTTACTTGGTTAGCAAAAGAGTCTATAATGTTGCTGTACCATGGACTGTGTATGCATATGAACTATGGTTTCTCTTTTCCTGTTTCACACTTTGGTCTTTCATCTTGGAAAGAGTTTTTGTAATCTGCATCTCTGTGTATATCACGCACATACACCTTGGAAGTACCTGAGCTTGCAGTCTTTGGTTTACTTTTCATAATTCAGAGGTGGTTGTTTGCATGAATTTCAAAGTTTTCCTTGACCTATTCTATACATTGTGGAATCCTTTGTTTTTCCCCCTTTCATTTTCTTCTGTGGTCTTTGCCTTGCTGGAAGGAACTTGACTTTTGGTGATCTCACTGTAGGTAAAACAAATGGTAGTCGCAACACTTGCTGAATCAGGCATGAATCTTTCAGATGATGTAATTGAAAATATTATAGATAAGGCAAGAATTCCACTCTTCATTCCCTTATGTACTCCTCTTGGTTGGTTAATTTTTTTGTTTGCAGATTTTCATCTAATTATGGTGTTTCTTTTCCCCTTCCCTACCTGGAATACTTTAGAAAATGTAACGGCAAAGTTTTGATTTTTTGCACTGCAGAAAAATTGTTATTATCTGTAGTTGTTTCTAGAGGGAATTGGTTCATGATGCTCTGTTAACGATTGCAGTATCTCATGCCTTTTGTTCTTGATAAGACAAGCATTTACCTTTTATGCATCTGCTTCCAGGAAATTCTGAGAAGTTATTTGGAACACTTTCTTGGAGCAAGAAGCTAATATATTAATCCATTTTCTGATTTCAGACCTTTGAGGAAGCTGATACCAAGCATGATGGAAAGATTGACAAAGAAGAGTGGCGTAGCCTTGTTCTAAGACATCCTTCTCTTTTGAAGAATATGACTCTTCAATATCTTAAGTGAGTTGTGTTTGTGTTATCTTTTGTTCTTTAAATCATTTTAGGCCCCGTCGATTTTTATTTTGGACAGCTTTCAAGATCTATGAAGCAGGAACATGATATGTGAATAATAGATGACTTCTTGTCCTTAATTGATGATTGCTTTGATGACCTATCTGCAATTTCTAAGATTTTTTAGTCGTTCTTTCACATGAATTATATTCAGTTCTTGCATAGATCTTTGAGGCATGAGAACATTTTGTTAAGTTCTCATGGGGATATGTAATGGTCTCTCCAAATTAATCCTTCCTCAGCTTGAAGCTTTTTCCAGCCAACAACTTTGTCCTCCGCCTATATAACATTATTATATCCAAACTTTGCCATTTAAAATGCACTCTGCTCTTTCTTTTTTTGTTTCATTCTTACAACCGTGTATACATCAGCTTCATTGTTGGTTGAAAGGAGGTACCTTTGCTGTTGCTTGCCTTCATAAGTAGCTTACCAAATGATCAAGATTTTGCATTCAAAGACTGTCAGGAGTGACAATGCATGTGCACTTGCTAAATTTGTTCTTTCTATGGACAGAGACATCACTACCACATTCCCAAGTTTTGTATTTCATTCTCAAGTTGATGATACGTGATCCAGATTTGTTCAGTTAGTCCATTGGTGTGGTTTGCTGCTGTACACAGTCTTGCAGTTGTGTGCGTAGAGGTTGACAAGGATGCTTATTGGCTGATGTGCCACGGGGAGAAAATGCCCAAAATGGGATTCTCAAATGTGTCCTTGTTCAAGGACTAGCAGCTTCTCTTTCGTTCTTATTGGCGTTCTTCATCGCCACGCCACGCTCTCTGTTATTTTTCTTTTTGAAATATAAAAATTTTGATTTTTTTTTTTTTTTTGGGGGGGCAAATTAACTTGTTGGTACCGATAGCCAAAAGGTTTTGGGAGTATGAATTGTTGTTTTGGAATGCCAAGAAGCGGAGGGCAGTTTGTCTCATAGACATTTGTGTAATTTGGAAAGATGCATGCATGGTGTGATTATTTATGTCCACCTTCTTTCTTTCTGCTGAAGCGCGTTGTATGAATTGAAATACCGGCCAGAGTGGATTAGGGATTGCAAATAACACCAACAGATTAAGCGCACGCGCATGTCCTTGTACAACTTTACAATCAGCTTGCAATAGAATGCAATTCAGCAACACCCCATTGGATTAAATTCAGACTTGTTGGTTCTTTTGCTTCTAAATTAAACTGTCTTTGTTATGGTGATGATGACAATGCAGTGCAGTTTAGGTGGTTGGATGTTTCCAGTTTAGAGTTGAATTAATAGTGGGGGGTATGCGGAGTTATGCTATTAATCTTCCCATTTTATGCTATTTTTTTGAGTTTAAAGTGATTGAAAGGCTCTCCGCTTTAAGGTTAACAAAATAAATTCCTTCTGCTGCGTCAGTTCATCTGAAAAAGGGAATCAACGCAAAAGTAATACTTCACTCCAATGGATATACATATACAGAGGCATTATATATATATTAATAATTATTATCCTCCCTTATAATTATATATATTTTTTTATTTAATCTTATTCATCCTTCCTTATTTTTATTTTTTTTAATTATTCTTACATTATAAAAAAATATAACACCTAAAATATATATTAACGAGTGCTTCTTTAGATAGACCCGTGTATATACATAGAAGACTAGGGAAAAAATGTAGAAATTAAAGACAAGAAAGTGACTGCAAATTGGTGAAAGAGGAATATTTTGTACACCTGTGCGTAGACCAAAGTCAAAATATCATGCAGTGCCCATTAACCCACCCGGCCTCTACCAAATATCAATAATTCTCTATTTCTTCTGGGAGATTAAAGAAGTAACTGCCGTCGTCCTCCCCCTCCCGCTGCTGCTGCTGAAAGAGCTTTGCGCTTCTGTGCTTGCTTCCATTGTAGGGGTATTCTATCAGCCTAACCCAAATTTCTCCAGTTACATGTTGTCTCCTATTGTGTATTTTCGCTTTCTGTCCATTTCACATTGCAATTTCTCCTATAGTTAGTTTCTGATGGAAAGACTAAATAATAATTCAGTACTAGTAAAAAGAATGCTCCTTCCTCCACTCCTCCCTTATATTTCTATCAACATTTAACATTCACATAATTGAATTACCATAAAAGTTCCATTCACCCGTGAATATGATCCATATTGTCTGTAATGCTAATATTAGACTTTTCCTCCTGCTTAATTGTTTGTTTCATTCCATAAATCAATGCCACTACTACTGCTACTCTTTAATGTTTGTCCATTTGTTCTTCTCCTCCTCCGTAGGACCCTATGGCATACTCCATTTTCTACCCTCCATTGCACTTCCCCCCGGCCCCGGCCCCCCTCCTCTTTCTTTTTCTTTTTTTTTTTTTTTTTTTGAGTAATCTTTCCCTCTTGTTAGCAGACTAATCCGTTGCAGTCAGAAAGAGATGGCGGAAAAAGGAGGAAAGGGGTTTTCGCTTCCCAAAGGTGCAACCTTTTTTTCGCTCTTTCTCTCCACTTATACTAAATTTGTTTTGCTGCTAGATTTCATCTCCTGGTCTTACAAATTCCCCGGAGATTTTTTACTTCCCAATTCCAAGAAAGAATCAAAGGTTACTTCATATAATGCTGACAATTGCATCGATTACATCTAAGAGTCTTGTTCTGCACATGCCACAACATTTGAAGGTTATAATTTCTTGATTTTATTCCTTCATCAACTGGTGATGTGCAAAGCAGACGTGCCTTAAATTCATTAATTACGCTCCATAAATGCTTGTGATTGCGTTGAGCATTGTGCACAACTGAAACCTCTTACACACTTGTTGCTTTGCGGGTCTTTGGAGATCTATGCCACTTAGGATTAATATCCAAAGGCAATGTACCTGCATCTTTAAAGAAGGTCAAAAGGCAAAAAGAGAAAAAATTAAAACAAAGTACTTATTGGAGAAGGTTGAGAGTTAAAGTGGATGCTTTCGTTAGCTATTGTTGCATTGGGTGATACAGTATGCATACAGGACAAGGGCTTGGAATTGTCCCCTTTTTTCACGTAATTTCAGGATAATTGCTTTATCGTGGCATGGAGGGCGAAAACTAAGTGCAATGTCCTTTGAAGTGTATAGTACATCAAGAGGCATGTATTGTGGGAGGAGTGATTTGTTAAAGAGGAGGGAGCTCTCATTGAACTTGGCAATGACAACTTAGGTAGTACCTTAAAAGTGTTCAGGCAAATAAATGGCTTTGATTCATGTTCTTATGTTTGTTATTTTCATTGGAGATGGTCTGCTAAGTTCTATTTGAGATTTCATATTCACAATGCCTCTTATCTTGTGTACGGCATGTGAACTTGTTGGATGTCTTTTTGTCCTTCATATTTCATATTAAGAAGAAAGAGACCATTTTTTGTCTCAAATTTTGCTGGCTGAGCATCCTGATAGAATAAGACGCTAGGGATTTCTTATAATCGAATCCACATTATTCGGAACTGAATTCTAAATTCTACTTTGGCTTGTCTTGTGAGCATTAAAAATCCTAGTAAAAAGGGGTCGGGCTTGCAAATCCACCTGTGCTATTGACTCTGCAATGGCTCATCAGAAGGATAACCACAACTCTTTAGTTTTTGCCTCTTATATTTTCTTCATAATTTTCTTATAGGTTCTCTGAAAGGTAAGGATGACAACTCAGCAAAGTCAAAACAGGGAAGGAAGGTCCAGATCGACTTTGAAGGTTAAGTTTTTGATAAGATTCAGAAAAATCTGTTGAAAATTCCTCTATATTTAGTGCTTCTGATGTGCTAAACTTCTGTCATCCTGTCTGGTGATGCCTGGTGCTTACTCTGATTCTAACTGTTCTAGATGTTTCAGATCCATTGGAACCTAATTCACCAAAGACCAATGGGAAGGTTAATACACCAATTTCCAAAGGTTTGACCTCCATGATCTTTCCCTCCCTACCTTTTGATATGCTATTTCATGTCTGGTTAAAATCATGGATAGAATCTGTTTGGTAATCATCATTACCAATCTCTAAAGCTCTAAAATGGTTGTAAAGGTGACTCGGGCAAAGGTGGGAAAGCAAGTAAGGCTGCAAGTGGTGGTACGAATTCCGTGACAAAAGCACCTTCTCTGGAGTTCAAAATTGAGGAAGGTTGGTGTTTAATTGGTCCTCCCCACCCCTTGGCTATCTGTTCTAGATTGAAATTGAACTCATCCAGCTTTATTTGTTATTCTTAGTTGATTTTGCCTTTGCTGTTTTTCCAGTTATTTCATGCATGATGTAAAGCAATTTCTTTTATTGAATACCCAAGACATGTTAATGGGGATAACTTTAAGTTTGAAACAAGAACACGCTATGGCTGGACGAATGCAAAGGTCATAAAGATGCCAGCAGCATTAAAGTGGCAAAAGAGAAACAAAAAATGATTGGGTTTTATCTCCACCAAACTTTTCATTCACTACACATGATTCTTGTATCACCATACCACCAGTTGTTTCTTCATCTCTTATATGCACTGAAAGTGGAGAGCAGGCATCATACCAAATCAGGCAAAAGAGACCCAAGACATTCTGCATGTAGAAAAGAGTGGACTAAAGTCACTGATGAGAGGACCGTTAGTTATCTTCCTTTGTGAAATTAAAAGCACCTAAAGAAAAAGGAAAGCACGAGAGCATTTGATTGCGAGAGGTGCAAAAAATGGAGTTGATGAATCCTTTTTGTCATTGCCTCATCTAGAATTCCCTTTTCTTAGCATATAGAATAGTTTAGTAGTTAATACCTCTTATTGGATTTGGCATTAGATGATCAGAGATATTTATTTATTTGAGATAGCTATTGGCCAATATCTTTGTCAGCTTGTTTTGTGAGCTGTAGATATTCTGTCAGTGTGTTTAAGTTGTTGTTCTTTGTGTGCTAATATCTTCATTGATGCTTCTGCAGAACTTCCCAAGAATGTAAAATGCTTAATGGACTGTGAAGCTGCAGAGATCTTGCAAGGAATTCAAGATAGGATGGTAGTAATATCAGCTGATCCATCCATAAAAATTCCCATGTAAGCTGCATGTATTAAGTTTTCTGAGTACTTTGACCACAAGATAAGAGTCAGTGTGTACTGTACTGCTTATTACCCTTTCATCTGCTTTTGAACTCTAATTTACTTTTATTCAGTCCTCAACTCTCATCCTTTGTTAGCAGTTCATTTGACAGTGGCCTGACATATGCCAAGAGGGGTGGCACTTTTTCTAATCCACAGTCTGTTCGAAAAATACTTGAGTATCCTTTTTGATGATTTATGTGCATCTATTTATATGTGTTATGTTTTCTTGAGGACACTACCCATGTATAATTGTGGAAAGTTTCATCCAATAAGCATTGGTAGCTGTTAACTTAACTCAGACTAGGCCTCTTATCAAATACGGTGTTTCTGAGGGCGAGGTATGGTCTCTATGGATCACAACCTTTTGCTTTATGCTCTTTTGTTTTGTTGTTAGCCATTTGATATCATATTTGCTTTATAACAGATGTGCATGGTTGCCAATCTAAAAGTAGAATCTGATGATGAAGTTTTTGCTCTTGTGCCCTCACTGAAGGTATGATACTGAAATTTGCATAAGCTGAACGTTTTTGGTTACTTGCTTTTCTAGGTGTTACGTTTTATTGCTATTCTAAATGCTGGTAAACTAAAAATCATCCAATCTGTTTTGTTGCTATTTTAAATGCTGACTAAAAATCGTCTCGTCCTTCCATAAACATGTAGTTGAACTTAGAATTTATGTGATTCAACCAAAATAACTAAAATATTAAAGACAAAAGCTGGTTGCCTATGTAAATTATTTTGATTCTCATATATTTGGATGGTAACCAGTAAAAATTTCACTGAAAGTTGTTAGGAGGAGGCACTAGTCACCTATGACTTCATAAAGCGATATTGACCATATTTTTCTGTGACGGGAAGTTAATTTGCTTGCTTTCCCATTGTTTCTGTCGATTTTTGTCTAGGCAATTCTGAAGTGAAAGATTGGTAGATTTCTTCAATTTAACTGTCTGGCTCTTTTTCCTGCTTCATACGTGTCTTGCTTGCTCGTCACATATGCAGAGGTTTGGTGAATCTTAAGATTGGAGTTTATCGCCATGCTGTATTAGGGGAGGACTAGGTTACTTGGTCTTAAGGGAGGACAAATGCCATTAGTTGCTGATAGAT